GACAAAATATCCCCGTGACAAAATATCTCCAGACTAAATATCACCGAACAAAAGCCCCGATAATAAATTATCGAACCGATACTCCAATAAATAATATAAAATTCATATACTTCATTTCATATATTTATTTGTATTTATTTAATAATAATAACGTTTGATTGTCAGTAATATATAAGTCATTAAATCGATAATCAAATAAATATAATAGCATATATATTGGTTCCATGATTTTTCCATGGTTCCAATAGTTATTATAAACTAGTTAAATTTACTTTATATTCTTTGATACAATAACAATTATTTGGTGTCATTTTTTTAGCACATTGATATTCAATATTAGAGCTTATAAAAATATAATATTTATAGTTACTACATTGACGACTAACAAACAAAAACCGTCACTTTTAATTATTAAATGATATCATTTTGGCAATACTTCGCAAATAGTTCAATTTATTATTCGAATCATAATTCCCACTCGTTCGTGTATCATGCACCGTTTCTGCACGGCACCGCATTGCCATCTACGACGAGTACCACATTATTTGTTCAGAATACATTACAAGAAAAAAAATGAACGATCGGCTAAATCCGCCGGGGATATGCCGATGAAGGACGGGGAACGTTTTTTGGGTCGCGTTAGGCTACTGTAAGGAATGGAACGTACGATAAGGTGGCATGGCGCAAGTTTGACCGGGTTAGGTTAAGTTAGGTTGCGCTGGATTGACTTGGGTTGGATTGTATTATGTTTGATCATGTGAGGTGTGGTTGGTAAGAAAGGGAACGTACCGTAAGGTAGCATGGCGCAAGTTTGATAGGGTTAGGATAGGTTAGGTTAGATTAGGTTAGGTTAGGTTAGGTTAGGTTAGGTTGAATAAAATATTGGAAAAAAAATCTTATAGCGATTTTTAGGGTGGGGGGGATATTTTGTCTAGGGATATTTAGTCTGGAGATATATTCTCACGGGGACATTTTGTCCGGTGATATTATGTCGGGGGATGAAAAATCATGGAACCCTCAGAAGGTTCTTTACCATCGCACTTCTCCTTTTCTTTTATTAATTTCCATAACGATATTTGTTGTTGCATTCTTTCTATTTCCTCTTCATTTCTAACTTTACTATATACTGTGGGTACATTCGCACGTCAATCAAAAATCTGATTTAATAAAAATTCTACATAAAGACTCCGGGACAGTAGGTAAATCTAATAATTTAAGGAAAGAATTCAAGTGCGTTGGTTTCGATTTTTGTCCTATATGCAATGAAGTGATACAGCATGTTGTGCTAATAATATCTTTCCAAAGACGTCTCATCTGTAATAATTGGCAGTATAACTGGATATATGAATTAAAACATTGAAATGGCTCCACGTATTAAAAATTAAACGATTTGGCTCAATGACGAAGTTCGAGCTCGATTTTGTTGTAACTACTTTCTGCAGATGTATATGCCATAATATAGCAGATTAAAGGTCAGGACATTCTACGTTCACTTAAAAAAGTCTGTGAATGATATTTAACGAAAGACATTGGGTACATATGCCTTTAAAAAAGTTTATTAAACCACATGAGCAAAGTACAAGGTTTGTTTAAAACAAAAAAAAAAAGAATCTTTAGAATTGTTTTCAAATTTTAATGATAAAGTATTTCGAACTTTTCTTTTTGCTTTTTGCTTTTGTTTTCAACAGCGACAGCTTTATTTGTTTTTATCGAGTATAATTTCCGAGATATTAAAATTTTTGTAAGGTACTACAAACTTCCAATTTTCTATAAATTACTAAATAACTCCAAAAAAATACCGCGCAAGTAAAAACTATGTTTAACAAACTGGACATTAAAATCGATGCTGAATTCAAAAATGTAATAATATACAGGGTGTTACATTTAAAATAAGGCAGCTGATGTAAACCCCCGGTATATTCGGAAGTCCGCCATCTCTGAAATTATTTTCCACAAATGAATTGTTTGACCACGAACATTTTTTATTGGAAATATTTTCTTCCAATTTCAATGGCAAAACCGCCAGAGAGCAAGGCGCGCTTAATGGATTAGGTGCCCTGTATTAATAGAATGGATAATTCAATAATTTCATGAGTAGCATTTCTCGTAGATTTCATGTGTATAGTTTGGGACACATTTCCAATATTTGTTTGCAATAATGCTCATTATACTGTCGTTATTTAAAGCATTCCTGTCTTTATTGACCACTTTTATTTGCAAAATTTGTTATCCAAAATTAGTCACTTATTTTACTGATAAATGTTATACTAAGTAGGTACAAATACCTATCAGATCAGCTTAACGAATTACAAATTCCATAAATTTATAGCAAGAGCAAATTGGAATTCTGTTCAATGAATTGTCCACTTCGAACACCAGAACGAGATAATTGATTGCGCTAACGTTTACATCAATTAATTACATCTTTCAGGCCTTCGAATCCTATGTCGGTTCGTTATCAGTCTCTGGACCGTGGACCTACAGTGATAGACCACGAACGCGAGTTCATACCGATCAGGGATCACCGCAGGGATCGTTCCTTGGACCGGAGTCTGTATTACGACGACCTCGACCCACCCTACTCCTCCCGCTCTGCCAGACAGTCGCCCACGGCCCATCAGCCTTTTATTGGTTTGTATTATAGATAATTATAACTAACAAATTATTTGAACTGTTATAATGTACTGCGTCTTCTAAGGTTTATGCAGCGAAAAACAATGAAAATTTAATAAAACTTGGGGTTTAAGGAACTGTGTAAAAAAGTTGCTGAGTTTGTAATCATTTCTTTTTTTAGAAAAGTATCTACCAGTGATCCGTCTTTTGCATTTCTTTCGGTTATCAGATGTTTTACGGAATAATTGTTTATTTTAATTAGAAAATGATTTCGTACCAATTTTATAAATCAAAAAATTGTATTGTAAAATTTGAATAAATGACATCAATCTATGAAAACATTTTATTAAAACGAATTGCTTTTCTCCTACTATGCAGTATTAATTATATTATTTGAAAAAATAATTGCTTTTCTCTCAGAAGTGTAAACAAAGGACCCCCTACGGATCTACGGGTCGTGTTATCTTCCTCAATGATTAAGGTAGAAAGTTACACAAAAGTTAGGGAAAACGTGAAGCTTAATTAGTGTATAAAGTAAGGTAGGTAAATTAGGTGCCTGGACAGTGGCATAGCTTGGACTTGTTAAAGGGGAGGTAAAGATAAAAGATACTGAAAATCCATAGGGTAATTCTGGGTGAGTTGGCATCCTTTTTTTCAAGTTACTAAAATTTCAGAAATAAACGAGATTACACAATACAATAATATATTCGTTATTAAAACAATAACATGAATAAAACTGTTATATCGATATATCCAAAAGATAAACGTATTCTTGAAAAAAAAATTATTCTCGTCATTTACTAGAAAAGCCTGACATTTAATGATTTTTGGTTTAATCTTCGTCATTGGATTCACAGCCTTTGAGACACCCCTAAATCCGCTCATGACTCCGTCTCGGTTTTAATAAATATGTTATTGATGCGTTTAGTGGAATGTAATAAACAGAAAAAAATCGAATTGATTCTAATGACTTGAAGCCAAATAACAGCATCTCATCAAGTCGTAAAGACAAAGTTAAATCAGACAATTCACCTGATTGTATTTAATTCTTTTTTCACTCTTAATTTTAAACAAATCAGTTCTTCAAACTTCATGAGGGTACTTTACACTATTGCCTAATTAAATAAGGGTCAAGATGACGATTTATTTACAACTTTTCAATAAACATTGACAACCTTCGTTTAAAGAGTAACAGCAGATTAGATTGAAAATGAATTTGAATTTATAACTAAATAATAAATTATGATAAGAAGAATTCAATTATTCGTCGAAGTTGCCAGATTTGGATCCCGATTTGAATCTCATTGGATCTCATCAGCACGCTGTGTACAGTTCCGATAAAACATAAATACGGCGTGCTGGTCAAATCCAATGAAACTGAAATCGTAATCTATGTCTGAAAACTTTTAGACAGTTTGACAAATAGATATCCTTACTACCCATTCTTTGTTTTTAATTTGGAAAATTATTACTTAATACATCAATTAAAATTACCGAAGGAATTGTGAGTTTTTTCGTTATAATACGTATCAAACTTGTTCGGTTAATAGGGATGGGGACGGTTACGTTTTTAAATATGCGGATGAACCACTAGGAACAAGGGTAGACATAGACGGTGAAAGTGCCCTGTTTTTAAGGTACCTAAATGTAGACTAACTATTCATTAGTTATAACCCTAACCAGTTAGTAATAAGGATCCGAATAAACGTATATCTAAATATTCTCGTATTTACAAAATTAGTGTCAGTTTTCAAATAGCCGTGCCATGCAACTCTTTTTAAGCTTTTTCTTTGATTATATTTCAGCATAAAACGCCCTATATAACAATAGAAAAAGAAATACTTATCTCACGCTATAAATATGCATACTTCCATCACATGAATGAAGATCGTTCACACGTAGGGCGCTAGTTGGATAACTCAATAGAGGAAGTTGCATTTTACAAAGAGTTCCCGTCGGCTATATACGAACTTCCTTAACAAAATTAGAGCCCAGTTATATTCCAGAAAACTAGATAGGTAGTTACATAATGCGATTTCAACTTTAGAGAATTCGTTTCTCGAATTATGTTGAATAAAAGAATATTAGAATCTTCGCTCAACTTGATTGGCAAAAGGCTACTTTTCGTATCTGTGTGTGGGCACCTATCTCATCTATTGTTACGTTCAAAAAAGCAGGGTAAGTAACAATTCGGACAAGTACAGAAAGGTTCTTAGGTATTCAAGAATTTAATTATTTTTGATCCGTATTTGCTTATGATACCTTAAGCAGAATATTTTTAAAGTACGAGGATTGTTCAAACAGTATCGCGAATTTTGTGTTTTTTTAATCAAGACTATCTATTTTGTCTCCTTTAAAGTAATCCTCATCAGATATTATACACTTGTGCCAACGTTTTCTCCAATCCTCGAAGCACTTCAAAAAATCATTTTTTGTGATCTTGTTTAGATCTTCCTTTGATGCCGTCTTTATCTCCTCAATCGTAGCGTAGCGTTGTTCTTTCATAAGCGTTTTCAGTTTTCAGAAAAGTCACAGGAGGTTAGATCTGGGGAATACGGTGGTTGCGGCATTATTAGTGTGTTGTTTTTAGCCAACAATTCGCGCACAAGCAAAGGCGTTATCATGGTGCAAAAGCCAATTTTCGTTCTTCCACAAATCCGAGCGTTTCAGGTGGATTGTTTAGCGTAAATTGCGCATAATTTGCAGGTAATATTCCTTATTGACTGTTCTACCCTATGATAAGAACTCATGATTCGCCACGCATCTGCAATCGAAGAAAACTGTAAACAAAACCTTCACATTCGACCTAACTTGGCGCGCTTTTTTCGGTCTTGGCTCGTGCGGCAGCTTCCATTGGGATGATTGAGCTTTTGTTTCCACGTGATAACCATAAACTCATGATTTATCACCAGTTAAGACCCCCTGGAACAAATTTGGGTCGTCGCGGGAAGAGTCCGACAGCTCCTTACCAATGTTAATGTGATACTATTTTTGGTCGAAATTGAGCAATTTTGGTACGAATTTCGCTGCGACACGTCTTATGCCCAAACCATTGATGAAAATCGAATGGCAGGAGTCAGTCGATATGTTTACGTCCTCAGCAACTTCTCTAACAGTGATTCGACGGTTGGCCAACACTATTTTCTTCATTTCATCAATGTTTTCGCCTGTAATTGAGGTGCTCAGGTGTCCGGCACGCTCTTCTGCGTTCACATCTTCTCGGCCCGCTGAGAACATTTTGTACCGCCGATAAACGTTGCTTTGGTCCAAAGTAACTTCATCATATGCCACAGTCAACATTCGGAATGCGTTCGCACTTAATTTTGTTTTTCACACAAAATTTGATACAGATTCTTTGATCCATTTTTTGGGATAGACAAAAATCGAAGACGAGCCAAAACACGTGCAAACAAAGCAGCTATCAAAAATTAACTGAACATTCAACATGACAAAATATGAAGATTGGAAAAACTTTGGCGGTTGTTGTAGAACAAACAGAATAGTTCAAAACCCCAACGCCAAAACACGACACTGTAGTTGTCCGAAGCACTTTTCGGTAACAAAGTTACCTTCTTCAGGGACTGAAGTAAACTAAACCTAAAAGAGAACTAATCCTAATTTATACTGATAGTTGTTAAGGTTCAGTGAACATGACCCGAAGCCAACAAGGTAGATGTTCAATGGACCTTAACATCATCATCATAAACGTAATTAAACTAAACTAAATAGCGGAGATCCAGGGATGGGACCGTTGTCATTGTTAAGAACAATTTGTTTATTTTTATAAATGTATAAACTTTCAAAACTGTTTAGTAAACGATTATTCCTAACTTCTTTAACTAACTTAAGGTTATTAATATTAATATTATGTCCATCAGTAAGAATATGTTGGGCAACACTAGATTTTTCTTCTCTACCAAACCTAGCATGAGCTAGATGTTCTTTAAATCTGGTTTTGATTGAACGTCTAGTTTGTCCAATATATTTTTTACTACAGTCATTACAACTAATTTCATATATCCCCGACTTTTCTAAGAATGGAATTTTATCCTTAGGGTTACCAAGGAGAGTTTGAATGGAGTTGCCATTTGAACTGTAAGCAATCCGTAAACCAAGTTTTCGAAAAATACCCTCGAGTCCGCGAGTAAATCTTGGCTCGTATGGCATAGTAATAAACTTGGTTTTATTAGCATCTGTTTGAAAAGTCGTAGATCTTGAAATAAAATTCCTAAATTTTATCTTATTAATTAATTTATCAATAATGTTACAATTGTAACCATTGTCTTTTGCAATTTTCTTAATTGTACAGAGTTCCTTATTATATCTATTTTTACTAAGAGGGAAGCTAAGTAATCTGTGTACAAGGAAGTTAAAACTAGCCATTTTATGTTGAACACAATGATTAGAGTCGTTGGGTATATATCTAGAGGTATTAGTGGGTTTTCTGTAGATGTCGAATTCTAAAGAATTCCCATTTCTTATAACCAACGTATCTAAAAATGGTA